AACCAGCCATATCACACACTTTATAAAAGGTAATATTTAACAAATTTTTGTTTTCTTGCTAAATAAGTGCCTAAAAAACTATTATTTCAAAGTGTGAAGAAATCAACATCGCATAAAAAGAGTATACCAGAGTCTCCAAGAATACTCCCAAGGGTAACCTGGGTACTGAAACTGAGAAGCCTAGGGAAAGAACACCACCCCAGGAGGCTGAATAACATGCCCTTCCCACTTTTATGGAAATGATAACTAATGACAGTCCCACATTTGAATGAGTATGTCAATGACCCCAATCCTGATCCATGTGCAGATGGTGATAGTATGTGTACAAAATGTGACACAGCCTAAGCCTGCTTCCCTACAGACAGTCCTAAGATTAACTAAACTTGCCTCTTCAGTCCTATGCAATAACCCCACCTCCTCCATCACCCACATCCAATAAACCTGCCTCTTCCATTCAGATGTATAAAATAAACGTGCTCAGTTTTCTGGGCTGATGCTGGTATATCTCCAACAAAACACACAGCCCACACGATCCCAACTTTCCTCTGTCATTTTCTTCATTTTCTACCTCTCCTGACAAGCCAAACCCTAAGATGTGCAGGTTGAGGCAAAGCCCTTCTTTACTTCTACCACAGTAATAAGAAAACAGCTAGTAAACTCAAACCCATTTGGGTGAGATACAAATAACAGAATTTATCATTTCAAGAGTTTTGTCACACCAGGACATCCAAATACATAATGCATAAATTGCCAGTGTGATGTCACCACCATGTGTCACATAGTCTATAAACTCTAAGAAAATTAAAGAAAAAGAAAGTAATGTGTTAGCACACTGACAAAAGCCTACCTGAAGCACATTTAAGGAAGCAGGAGCCCTCAGGCTACATTTTAAGATGTGGTTGTCTGTACCTAAGCCTCTATTAACACCCATGTCACACACTTGTAGGATATTCAGCTCTAGTTAGCTGCCTGCAGAAACATCCACCTCACTTTAAATCACCCCAAGTTCCTTCCCTTCCCTTCTCTTTCTCAATATCAAATTCTACTCATTTTTTTTTAAGTCTAGTAGGATGCAAGAGCCTATAAAACCAAAACAAATGCTGCAGAACTACTGCCCTAAGCATCTGGGAACTCACTACACATTAAAGTTTAAAAAAAAAAAAAATGCCCTGGGTGGTGACAGTCAGTAGCTTCCAGCAAACTCGAAGGATCTGGGGGCAAAGGGAGAGAGTCTGAAAGTCCAGCACTGCAGCTCATTCCTCAAGCCGCAGATTGACACTTTATGAAGAAGGCTGCACTGCTGCAGTCATCTCCCGGATTCAAGTCTCATCTCCCTCAGATCCCACCCTCTGCCCTGAGAGCAGGGGGGCCTGTCTATTCTTTACTTTCTGTTTGTTTCTCCCACTTCCAGGTTGGTTCTCCCATAACCTAACCTCCAAATTCCTCACTGTGAAATTCCAGGGTCTCTAAAATGTGGTTCCTGTCTGCCAGGATTCCATACTAGAAGTGTCCAAACCACTGAAATGTTAGGCTGCTTGGTAAAAAAAAAAAAAAAAAAAAAAAAAACCAACAACAACAAAAAAAACCTCTGGTACTCTTAAGTGCCCTTACAAGTAGACAGAATTGAAGGTTGCCTACCTTTGCTCCCCTAGTACCTTGTACTCACACTGTTCACAAAACAGTATTTAAATGTATGTTTGCCTCCTCCCAAATGCTAATTTCATTTGAAGGCAGAGAAATCATATTCATTCTCATATTCCATGGTCAGGCTAAATGAGCAGACAAGTGATACACAATAAACGCTGATACTGGATTTCTGAAGCTTGTGACTTAGGATGATGTGGATGAAAGGAAACCTAGAACCTTACTAACAAGTACCCACCCTACAAAGAGCAAAGTATTTGTGTGTGACATGTGTGTGGGTACATGTGCATGCAGGTGTAAAAGTACAGAGAGGGGTCAGAAGTCAATGCCAGTTGTCTTCTTCATTCTCTACCTTATTTTTTGAGATGAGGTCTCTCCCTGAACCTGGAGCTCACTGATTGGTTAGACTGGATAGTTAGCAAACTCCCTGGATCTGTCTCTGAGCATAGGGGTTAAAGACATGCTACCATGCCCAGTTTTTTATGTGGGTACTGAGAATTCAAACTCCTGATTTTTGCACAGTGCACTTCACTAATGTGACAACTTTCCAGCCCCCACGAAAGGTTTTTATTCTGCATCTAAAAATAAGTCCTATGTGCATATTAAATAACACATAGATGAACTGAAATGAAAAGTGTAAATTATATTGATTGAAGTATATTCAATCAATCTAATATTGACTATGAGGTGCTTTCCAGTTTTAACAGTAATAAGACAGAAAATATGATTCTGGGTATGTGAACAGAAAACAATTTAGGAAAGAGTGAATTAAAATCCTAACCACTAAAAAAAGATAATATTCAACTGGTAAACCAAAGCAGGATATGCACACATTTCTATCCAAATTTGTAAGTAAACACCAGAAGGAAAAGTTAAAATAACTGAGGTTAGGGTATTGTTAGGTGAGAGGACAGCTAATTTAAAAAAAAAAAAAAAAAAACCAACAACAACAAAAAAAAAAAACACAAACAAACCTGCTAGTAGTACTATCTGCTTGCAGAAATAAACACTACTGTTTTTAAATGTATTATGGTGCTGGGATTGTAGCTCAGCAGTACAATATCTGCCTAGCAGGCTCAAGGCCCTGGTTCCATCCCAAAAATAAATCAGGAAGCAGATTACCAAAAAGACAAGTGATGCTGAGAGACAGGGGGATATTCCCTACATTATACTACTCAGGGTATTTAATGCAGAAGAGTTCTTCTACCTCACAATCACTTACTCCCAGGACCTTCAATCATGACCTAGGAACATCAGTATTTGGTATGTATAAAATTTCATCTCAAGGAAATTAATTAAGGTTCCTGCTATAGAGATAAAACCTGAGATTTGTATTCCAGATAAGCAACTTCTGACAAGGAAATGTAGAACAAATAATGAAAGTCACTTCTTTGACTATTAGAGAATATGTACAATCTGAAGAAATGTCAAAATACTATGCTACTAGGCTTAACTATCAGTTTGTAAAAATCCCACACAGAGCACAGGACAGCAAAAGCCAAATAATTTTTCAAGATTTTCTAATGCTGCCCCAAATGTCAAAATGTCTATGCAAATAAACTTCTGTACAAGTAATACAGCTAGTTAAAATGCAATTAAAAATATAGCCATGGAATTCCCCACCCCCAACCCCCACTCTGAGACAGGGTTTCTCTATGTAGCCCCGGCTGTCCTGGAACACTCTCTCTAGACCAGGCTAGCCTGGAGCTCACAGAGATCCGCCTGACTCTGCCTCCCAAGTGCTGGGATTAAAGGTGTATGCTACCATGGCCTGGCAGCCATGGAATTCTTTAAAGAAAATTTTTATTAATAGATTAATTCCTCTAAAAGAATCTAAATATTTGATCTATAATCTGCATTGTGACTACTGGTAATTAAAGAAACACAAAAATACTTTATTTCCTATGAAGATCTTATATAGGGAACCTAACTTTTATTGTATTTTGCTATTAAGGAACCAAACAAACACATAACAGAAAGGAAATACATCTAAAGTTACTTTATTGCTCTTCATAACACAAGATTATGAAAGAACATGTAAGATTACTGAATACACTCATCTACAAAAAATATCAAGAATATTCCAAAGTCCAGAAGAAATAAAGTAAAAATATTCTTGATAAGTTGTTTTGTTTTGTTTCAACTCAACCTGGGTTAGGACTAAGCTATTTTAAAGGTCGTAGTACACATGTGCTAATCTGAAAAGCTAACCTGTGGTCACTGAAGCTACAGGGGCAACTAACGCTTACCTCAAGGGAACCTACTGGAGATAAAGTCCCGTCACTTGCACAGTCCTTTCAGCTGCCTGCCAGTTGTCTCTGTGGAAGGGAAAGCCTGATGAGTGAGAACCCTATGCCACACTCCTGTGGAGTGTAGGGTTGCCTGTACAACTGCACAAAACTGCCTACCTACAGGTTCTTAGATCTCTCAACAACACACAGCTAGAAAGATGCCGCCTGCGAGTTTCTCTCTGCATGGAACAAGGAAGCCAAACGCAGTAAGAATTTCTGAGTGTTAACGGCCTATTGGCAGAAAAGACTAAAGGAACCAAGTACAAACGTGTTACATCGACAGGGAAACACAAACATGTACATGCACGCATACATACACAAAGTGGTTAAAATTAATGGACAGAACTGTATAGCCCAAGAAGAGAAAGGCTAGACTCACAAAAAGTCATTGTATCAAAACACGAGTGCTAAACCCAAACACATTCGTGTCCACCATTTTCAGAGACGCCATTGAGTATATCATGCACAGAATTGACCATACCATGGACCCAAATGTCCACTTCTAAATACCACCTACTTTCTTGGTGAGGTCAGTAAATTGGTACTAGTGAGGGGGATTTATCATTTAAAAAAATATGCAAAATGAAAACCATCAGCTTGATTCCACAAGAAAGTCTACAAAGAAGAAAGATGTATTTTTAAAACTAGAAAAGTACACAAACCCTCATTAAAGATGAAACTAAGATGGTAAGTACTAAAATAATAATTTTAACTATGAAATGCAGCATATTTCAAAACCCATCTTCACTGTATAAAACTGTAAATGGCTGGTCTTCTTTTGACAATACCTTTATATTATTCATGTGCAAATTAAGCTGCAGAATCAAAAAACTACAGTCTAATGGCAAATATAATCCTTAATCTAAATGTTTGCTTCATTAAGGCCACCCCCTCTCCCTACCAGCCCCACCCGGGGTCGGGGAAACACTGCATGAAAAAGTTCTAAAAGAAAACTTTAAAATATTAACCTTCAGTACCAGGGTTGTTGGGGGGGGGGGGGAATGCTCATTTAAAAGACAATTCCAGTTTTTATTTTCCCAGCACATTTAAAATAAAATTACTTACCTCTGATTCTTTGTCACTTAGAGATCCTAAGCTTCCAAAACTGTGATTAGAACTTTCATTGTTTGTTGAAGCCTGTGAAAGATTTTTAAAGGTGAAAATTAGGAGGGATTTTAAAGAAACATACTACAAGGTATAAAATCTTTATATATATGAAAATCAAGTATGATTTCTCTAATCAAGGAAGACAGGCAAGCAAGGTAAATGTAACAAATACCATGCTCTCAAGCTACAAATGTCTAGAATGATTTGTCAAGCTACCAAAACTGTGCTGTTTCAGCATCTTACTTGTATTGGTGACTTTTTTACAACATCATTTCAAAAGCAAAGAAACTGGGCTAGGATACAGGATGAATAAAGTCACCTGCCAATGTAAGGAAAGCATCATCCATGTGCCTCAGTCACAACAATCACATTCCGTGTCTCACACATAACGGCCAATGTAAGGCATCATCCATGTGTCTCTGGCATTATAAGAATCATATTCTGTGCCTTGTTGTTCTGTTTTGATTTAATTAAACTCTTAACTACTTTGACAGTCTTAACTGCTTTGCTCAAGTTTTCCCACTTTCTGGACAATGACAAACAGATACAAGCTTTCTGTTGGCCGGCTGGTTATCTGCCCTCCTTCCAGCATGCTTCTACAATGCTTAGCATTTTGTGAACTCCTGTAGCAGGGTCAGTGTCTTGAATCCATCCTCACGGGAATTTTGACCAGAGGATGATGACAGGTTGCCACACAAATGCACACTAACTGATCCTCAGATTTCCCTCTCATTCCTAAGACTAGCCACAAATCTTACTGTTAAGTTACAAAGTGGCAACTGGGGGTGGTGTTGCCTGCCAGTGATCCCAGCATTCCAGAGGCAGACTCAGATAGATCTCTGTGAGCTCCAGGCTCGCCTGGTCCACAAAGCAAGTCCAGGACAGCCAAGGCTACACAGAGAAACCTTGTCTTGAAAAAACAAAAGCCAACAAACAAAAAAGTTACAATACAACCTGGCCTAATTATTTATAGACAACTTTCTGGAAACAACTCTGATTACTGCATGTTATGAACACTGTTTAAGGCTATCAACATGGAATGGCAGCTGACATGATTAAGATTCAAGGAGTTTTTGAGATGGCTCAGTTGGCAAACTGCTTGTGTAAGTATGAGGACGTGGGTTCAATCCCAACACCTACATAACCTCTAGACACAGTGCAACACACACCTGAAACCTCAACACTACTAAGGCAGATACAGGAGCATCCTTGGGGCTTGCTGGCCAAGCAGTCTATTCAAACAAAGGCATTCCAGGTTCACTGAGAGTGTGGTCTGAACAATAGGCGGGAGGCTAGAGAGATGACTCAGGCATTAAGAGTGCCAGATGTCCCACGTCTAATTCCCAGCATCCATACAGTAATTCAGAACCATCTCTAACTCCAGTTCCGAAGGATCTGGCTCATTCTTCTGGTCCTTGCAGGAACCAGGCATGCAAGCGATGAGCAGATATACATGCAGGCAAAACATCCAAACAGTATTAAAAACAAAAATGTTTAAAGGTGTGTAGTGACTGAGGACGACACTGGCACTGATCTCTCCACAAACATACACACCTGAACTCATATTTGTAAACACACATCAATTTCTGAATGCATAGACTAGAAAAAAAGACAGAAAATGCCTCAGTTTTGGAATAAACCTAAAAACCAGCAGCAGAGGGAGGGAACTCTGAGGGAAAAGCCATGCTGAACCACCTTATTGTTCAGGCCGCCTGAGTTCTCGAAAAGCAAACAAAATGAGTCAATCATATAAGGTTACTACAAGGTGCAATAAGGGCCCAAATTAACAAAAATATCCACAAAAATAGGTGAAAACTGTAACCCACTATTTCAAAGTGAAACAAAAATGGTTTAAGAAGGAAGAACACTACAATCCGCTCTTTAAACATGAAAAAGTGACAGAACTCAGGGAAGGTTCAAAAATATTATTAGTAAGGAACATGCAATCACCACAGTAATATGGTGCTTTAAGAAAGCCCTAAGGTCACAAGGACGTTTTGAAATCACAAGGAATACAATAAAAAGGACTTCTATTTATTAGGTTTATTTGTTTCGCTGTGTGTGTGTGTCAGTGATATGTAAAGGTCAAGGACACCTGCAGGAATTAGTTCTCTCTGCCTACCCCGAGGGTACCAGGGATTGAATTTAGGTTGTTGGGCTTGGCAACAAGCACCTTTACCCACAGAGCCAACTCATGGACCAAATAAAAAGAACGAGAGAAAACAACCAGGGAAGCACTGGCGATTTAACAGAGAGAAAGGAAAGTACTTAAAAGACCAGTAAAAGGAGAAAATAATAAGAATTATAATTTAAGGGGTATTTCCTGACAATATTCTAATTTATAGTCGATTAGGAAGATATGACGCATACCTATGAATATCAACTCAGAAGAATGCCAAGTTTTCCAAAGGCTTTATGTGTTTATGCCAGAAGGAAACACTGAAGAAGAGCAATTATGACTACAACATTTTATATCCAGGGAAGGTGATTTTGTTTGTTTTGTTTTTTGAGACAAGGTTTTTCTGTGTAACCTTGGCTGTCTGGGAACTCACTCTGGAGACCAGGCTGGCCTGGAGCTCAGAGATCTGCCTGCCTCTGCCTCTGGGATTAAAGGCGTGGCCCCCCCCCCCCCCCATCACCACCATGGCAAGTGAGTTTTAAGACACTGAATACAATCAGGAACTACCTGCTCAGACAACCACAATGAAAAACTGACCCTCTGAGCACTGAGGGGAAGCAATAGGGTACGATTTGTTTACTGATAAAGAATACATACATAAACAATTGTGGGATATTATAATTGTACCATCTGCACCGTCCTAAAGAGCAACAGATTCTCAGCAGACTATAGATACAGATTCAAATGAAAATAATACTGTCCTGAATTTGGACACAAGAACTGCCCCAGAGCAACTACAAGTTGGATCAAAATCTGTAACTTCATTGGTTAGAAAAAATGATTTCCGGACACGACAGAGGCTATGAAGGAAGGAGAACTATGTAGAAAATAAAGAACCACAAAGATGAAATTAAAAATTTTGCATGTAAATTGTGCCCATGCCTCTAGTTAGTATCTGATCTGTATGATGGAGGAAAAAGAGGAAGGGAAGGATGACCACAATGATTATGATGATGACTGTGATGAAAATGACGATGAACCAACCTTTTCTAAAACTGGAAAGCATGAATTTTAAATTAGAAAAAAGGGCTGAAGAGATGGCTCAGTGGCATGCACGGCTCTTGCAGAAGATCTGAGTTTAGTTCCCAGCACACATGTTGGGGTAGCTAACAACCTCCTGTAACTCCAGGTCCAGAGGATCCAATGCCATCTTTTGGCCTCTATAAGTATCCACACAATATGCATAATTAAAAACAAGTTTATTTTTTAAAGTAAATAAACCTTCAAAATGGAAGGCTGCTTCTGCTGAACCAAGCAAGCTCAAGGTTCATGTTATGAAGACTTAAGTGCTAGAGATAAATACAACATCCTGAAATGCTTCAGAGAAGCAATTCATTCACAAGGATCAGAAATCAGAATTGTACCAGAGTAATAAGCAATAACATGGAAAGCTAAAAGACAATAGAACAATGCTTCAAATTTGAGAAATTTCCAACCTAGAATTCTATTCCCAGATAATGACCAAAAAAAAAAAATCAAAGGAGGAAAATAAGCACAGTCTGAAAACATTCCCCATGTCCCTTTCCAAAGGAAATAAGTGGAAAATATGCCCTATCAAAACAAAGACATACCCCAAGACTAAGATGTCGGATACAGGGAGCAGGAGCTCAAACACAAAACAAACGGAAACAAATACTCAGGGTTAGAAGAGAGAGTCTAGGAAAACACATCCAAGGAACAGAGCAAATAGCCTAAGAAGAAATGAATGAAGTACTTCAGGGGAGAGACTTACAGAACAAGGGGAAAGAAGGGAAGAATAATTAGTATTTTAAAATGATGCCTACACCTCTCTGCTGAGAAGTAAGTACATGGATTACACTAACCCAATAAATAACTGTTAGCTGTGGAGAAAACAAAAGCTTTACAAAGAAAATACAATAATGGAGCCAACAGGTTCAGGTAGGAATAGTTGAAAAATATATGCACTGAAACAGCAATTTAACCATAAATTAAAGTACTAATACTATCAAAATTAGATGAGGTCGGGCCGTGTATTTATTTCTGTAAGGGAGCAGACTGGGTGATTTAAGAGTTAAGTCCTCGCCTTCGACAACACAAAGTCAGTCTGTAATGGCTCTGTTGCTGGACTGATTGTTTGGGTAACTTCCACTCTGGTGTTAGTAGCACAAGGGCTTAACCTGCCACACTTCTCCGCATCTAACAGTACAACTCCCCTAGCTCAGCACTGTCCTTCACTACGATCTTGGTGAGTCACCCAGCCTGGCCCGGCCTTGAATTCACAAGCCATGTTACCATGCCATGGCATCTTTACCTTTATGTTCTGATACACATTTTGGAAGTTTATTCATTTTTACCTTCCCTCAGACACTGCAATTTTTAATCAGCATTGCACTGATCTACAGAAAAACTTACGAAGAAGTGACATCATTATCAGGTGGAGTCTTCCCACTCATAAGAACTACAACCCTCATTCCTCGGCCATCTTTTCTCTGCACTTTGTAGCCCTTGGTCAAACTGTCAAGTTTCTTTTGTCAGATTTATTCTGAAGTACCTTGTAATTTTCATGTTCTTGTACAGAATATCTTTTAAAATTTTACTTTTCATTTGTTGATCTGTAAAAATATTGCTAATTTTGGAAAGACATATACATGACATGACCCGTGTATCCTCATCTGTCACTTCTTTGGGATTTTCTTCTGCAGCAGAGTAGATAGCCTTTACAGTGGTAACATGACTGAGCTGAGTCATGTAACCAAGTAGGCTGTGTAAGCAAACACAGTGAGTCATTCCCTATGTACTAGGAGGACTAGTTTTGAGTCGCTATTGATTTCAGCGGCTCTGTCACCACTATGTTGATTATAATGGAAAATTATACTGCCTTGGCCTCTCA